TAGTAACCCTTTTTGTTATTCTTAACCTCTTTTGTTAACTGCAACTCCAAGTGTGATTTGGCCTTCCTGATTTCACTCCTGCATGCCTGAGCAATATTTTTATACTCCTCCCTGGTCATCTGTCCAATCTTCCACTTCTTGTAAGCTTCTTTTTTGCGTTTAAGATCAGCAAGGATTTCACTGTTTAGCCAAGCTGGTCGCCTGCTATATTTATTATTCTTTCTACACATGGGGATGGTTTGTTCCTGCAACCGCAATAAGGATTCTTTAAAATACAGCCAGCTCTCCTGGACCCCTTTGCCCTTCATGTTATTCTCCCAGGGGATCCTACCCATCTGTTCCCTGAGGGAGTCAAAGTCTGCTTTTCTGAAGTCCAGGGTCCGTATTCTGCTGCTCTCCTTTCTTCCTTGTGTCAGGATCCTGAACTCGACCATCCCATGGTCACTGCCTCCCAGGTTCCCATCCACTTTTGCTTCCCCTACTAATTCTTCCCTGTTTGGCAGACAACCCCTCAACGTTCGGCTGATGGACCGTAAGTGCCAGACCTACGACTAGGAAATCATCATCTGAAACCTGTTTGACCAAGATTTGTGGTAATCATCAAATTCAATCTGCTAATTGCATCGTCTGTTTCTCCAGACCGCAGACAAGTTGCCACTGGGTACTTACAGGGGACGCGTCGTGAATGCCGATCCATCGCCCCTGTAACGGGGCTGGCACCCACCTCTCATGAGCACCCCCTTTCTCTGGCTGTCATGCCTGCAAACACAGGTCTTTTCAGAGGACAGCACCCACCTCTCGTGGACAGCCCCTTTCTCTCGGTTGGGTGTGAGCCTGCTTGTTTTTCAGTTCTTACACCAGGGTGGTACCCGCCTCTTGCGAGCACCCCCCTGGCTGATGGTTCTCTCAGCGGGTCTTCAGCAGCTCAGCCCTCCAGCCGAGCCGCACATGCTGCTCCCCCTTCTGGGATAGACAGTCCAAGTACTTATCTCGGCCCTGGTACGGGGCCACAGCGCTAAGGCTTCTCCCCTGGGCTGGGGCCCATCTCGGTACCCACAGTTGGTGGTGTTTCAGCAGGCCCCACTGGGCTCAGTGGATGACCAGCCCAGCGGGGCCCATCTCGGTACCTCATGGGCCTGGCCAAGTTCCGTGCTCAGTCCCCCGGGCGCAGCCTGCCTCCACTGACCTTCCCCTGGTCCTGCTGCTCTTCCCGCCAGCCAGGCACCTGGTCTTCAGCAGCCTTCCCGGGGCTTCAGTCCTGTCTGCAGTGAGCTGTGCATACTGTGCCAGCCAGCCAGCCTCTATTGTTGAGCTCCACACAGCAATGAAGGCTCTGCTCTGCTGATTGCCTTTTATCCGACCCTTCTGGTCCCTTATTGGTCAGTCCAGCAGTCCCTCTGATTGGCCACTCCCCTGCAGCCGCTCTAGGCAGCCTGGAGGACTCCTCGCTGCTCTATTCTGGGGCAGGGTGACACAGGGCAGCGAGGCCTACAGCAGCGGGCCCCGGACCTAAGTCCACCCTGCCACAGTCCCCCTTTCACCTATTGTGACCATCTTACAAAAACAGCAACTAGGGTCAAAACACACAACCACCTGGTCAGAAAGCTGGCTGGAACGCCATGGGCGCCAGTGCCCAGACATCACATACGTTAGCCTTGGCACTCATTGGCAGAGCACTGCGCTCCAGTCTGGGCTCGCTCGTCTCACACAACAATGATCAATGTACAACTTAATTCCACCATGCGTATTATTTCGGGCACACTTCAATCTACTCCTCAGCCATGGTTACCGGTTCTCTGCAATATTGCTCCACCCAGTGTTCGCAGAGAGGAAAGCGTAGCAAAGCTTAGGATGAAATATTGTGATATGCCACATCTACCGTTAACTAAAGACTTGTTTAATCCGCCACATGGTCGTCTGCCCTCACGGTGCCCACTGTGGATAAGTTTACCGGGTGAAGGATTTACGGTAGAGGACGCGTGGCAAGCTTCATGGTTCGCAGAGAAAGTGACACATAATTAGCCTGTCTCTGACCCCACTCAACATCAACCCGGGTTTGATTTACCACAAAGGCACTGGAGCTTCTCAACCACTTTTGTACCAGATGTGGAATTTGTGCTCAGGGGAATTTCAGTGGTGTTTGAGAGCCAGTCACTCTGTCAGCGTGGGCAGCCACAAACCCTGACACACAGTGTTGAGGACTGCAAAATGACTCAACTTCCTGGACTCTTCATGCCTGAAACATTGTCGATAAGGACGCTGGGTCTTGGCTTGACCGGATTGCGTACGCCAAATAAATAAATAAGTAAATAAATCAAGTTACTCCTTAGCTTTCCCTTAAGATAATTAGATTGAGCTCTTTGAGTCTATCGCTATAAGTTTTCTAATCCTTTAATCATTCTTGTGGCTCTTCTCTGACCCCTCTCCAATTTATCAACCTCCTCCTTGAATTGTGGGCACCAGACCTGGATACAGGATCCCAGCAGCAGTCGCACCAGTGCCAAACAGAGGTACAATAACCTCTCTGCTCCTACCCGAGATTCCCGTTTATGCTCCCAGGATGGCATTAGCCCTTCTGGCCACGGTGTTACACTGGGAGCTCATGTCCAGCTGATTGTCCACCACGACACCCAGGGTAGAGTCCCTCTGCCTGTAAGTCTGACTGTCATCCTTTGTTCCTAGTGGTACATTTACATTTAGCCGTACTAAAATGTACACTGTATGCTTGTGCCCAGCGTCCCAAGGGAGCCAGACCGCTCTGTGTCACTGACTTGTCCTCTTCATTATTCACCACTCCCCCAATCTGTGGGTCATCTGAAAACTTTATCAGTGTTGGTTTTGTTTTCTTCCAGGTCATTGATAAAACTGTTAAATAGTGTAGGGCCAAGACCCCATCCCTGTGGGACCCCACTGGAAACAAACCCGCTTGATAATGAGAACCCCCGTCTACAATGACCTTTTGAGACCTACCACTTAGCCAGTTTTTAATCCATTTAATGTGGGACAGGTTCATTTTATATCATTCTAGTATTTTAATCAAAATGTCGTGTGATACCAAGTCCAATGTAGACACTAAGTGAGGTGTCTACACTGACACTGCGTCGCTCTAACTACATCGCACAAAGCTCTCTGCCTCTCATCGCCGTGGTTTTCTGATGTCAGCGTAGCAGGGGAGTTCCATCGGCGGGAGATGCAGCGCAGCGTATACTCGTCCAGTGTTTTGTCAACGAAAGCTGACTTCTGTCAACAAAACTGTGTAGTGTAGACAAGGCCTTAGAGAAGTCTGAGTATGTTACGTCAACACTGTTACCTTTACCAATCAAACTGGTCATCTCATCAAAAAATACATTGAGGTAGTTTGACAGGATCTATTTCCCATAAAGCGGTGATGATTGCCATTAATTATACCACCCTCCTTTAATTCTTTATTAACCAAGTTCTGTATCAGCTGCTCCATTTGTCACACCTGCCCCAGATCGGTGCTAGGCCCCCAGCTTGGGAAGTCTCTTGGAGGAACTCTTCAGCGGGCCAGATGTCCCAGCGGGTCCAACTCTTCCTTCAGGGCAGGCCGTGCAGCCTCAGCGCCTCCCGAGACTGGGCTTCCCCGGCTCTAGCACTTCCTACTTCTGGGTCCAAAGGCACCAGCCAGTAGCCTTTGGTGAGATCCGTGGTAATGAGGTACCAGGCCCCACCCCAACTTGTCTAGGGTCTCATCAGTCATAAGCACGGGGTAGGCATTGGAGATGGTGATGGCACTGAGCTTCCAATAGTCCACACAGAACCAGATTGACCCGTCCTTCTTGGGGACCAGCACCATCAGCAAGGCCCAGGGGCTGGGTCACCCCTAAAGCCAGCACGTCCTTGCCATCTCTCTGCAGGCATGTGCTGTATCGGTTCGCCCTTGGCGCCAAAGGCATTCAAGAGACTTTTCCTTTGAGTTGTCAGTGACTCACAACCAGGTAACAGAGTGCCCCATCCTCTCCCCTTTTGCCCACCCTTCTCACAAACATTACCCTTCGGGGCTTCGAGATCCCTAGGTGGGGATCTACTGGGGTCAGCTACCCCCCCACACACTTTTTGCCTTTCCCCAAGTCCCATGTCTGGGGCACCCCCACTGGTTTGTTTCCCAGGACCCAGGCTTAGCCCCATCCCTTTGGGTTTCTTTTCATACCCAGACCCACTGGCCACAAACATCTGTCAACCAGCCTGCACGGCCCTGCTCCTTCAGCTTCCCACTAGCTCCAGGTTCAGCTCGGAGGCGCTACTTGAACCCGAGCAGCTCGTGAAAACGTGTGTGGAGACAAACTCCCATCAGGGAGGTGACTTCCATGTACATCGACCCCTTGGGCACTGCGCACGCCAAAACCTTGTCCTGGGAGCATCCACGCCCTCCGTCTGGCTGTGCACCTCTACCGCCAGGGATGGGGCGGGGGGCCAGACGGTGGGGCCAGTCTGCAGGGGGGACCAGGCTCAAAGCGCAACCTTCTCAAAAGCCAAGGTCTCCAGCACCCTCCCTTAAACAGGGCACTTTGTACACTGCAGGTTCCCGTGGACTCGCCCCTCAACAGGACCTCATGCTCCTCCTTCCTCCAAAAGCTGCTGCGGCTGCTTGTCCTGGGACAGCCAGTGTCTCTGCCAGCCCCTCCCGCCCTCCGCTGCAGCTCCAGAGAGGGGAACTGGGCGTGAGGACGCCCTGCTACTGCCTTCATTGCGCTTGGGCTCTCCGCGCCCTGCCTGGGTCTGGCCAGCCTTCTCCAGCTGCACCTTGCTTTACTTCCCCCACTCCCTGCACCGCTCTGCCATGCTCTTCCTAGCGAGGGGGTGTCATGGACCCACAGGGTCAGGGCTCTGGCCCCAACCTGGGAACAGTCTCTGGGAGGGGCCTTCAGTGGGCCAGACCCCCCCCCCCCCCGGATCTCACTCTTCCCCCGGGGTGAGCCACACGGCCTCCCTGCCTCCTGAAACAGAGCCCCTGGGCTCCTGCCTCCACCCATCGCTCTGCCCAGCGAGTCCCGCTGAGCCAGACGCCCGGGACAGCCTCGGCCGCTCTGCAGGGACCCCTGCGCCCGTCAGTGCCTGCGACACCAGGCAGCCTTTCCCCCAGAGCCGGTCTCGGTCCCCTGGGTGCGGTGTGGGGGGCCCTCGGGTTAAGACACAGTCCAGCTGGCCAAGCAGTTGTGGGCACCGCTTCCGCTCCCTCCTCTGTCTGTCCGTGCCAGGGAGCCCCAGGTCCCACCAAAGGCCAGCTCCTGTCCCAACCTTTGGTCCCGTCCTGCCGAGCCCTGCGAGTCCCCAGCCCCGCCTGCTGGAGCTTGTTTAGTCCTGGGGCTCCCATTGTCCAGCCAGATCCTCCCTTGAGCTGAGCTGGGGTCAGCCTGGCCTTAGCGCCCCGCCAGGCCTGACACACCCCTCCTGCCCTAGGAGCATTTAACCCCTCTGCCCCCCGGGCAGCAGCCCCCCACCTGGGAAGTCTCACCGGGCTCAGCCTTCAGGAAAACACTGCAAGAAATTCCCACTTTGTTACAGGGGGGCTGGCGTGCTGCTGTTGGGGGAGGGGGAACCCGAGGTTGACATGGTGCCACTGGTGGGGGAGGGGGGGCACTGGGGGCTGGCCTGATGCAGCACCGTTGGTGGGGGCCCAGCGGTGCGGGGGGAGGATGGCTGTGGGGTGGGGGGTTGAGCCACCTGACGGAGAGAAAGGCCAACAAGCCTGACCCTGTGGGTCAGGGGAGGGGCTCCCTCCTGAGCGCCACGAAGGTGCCCTGGTTAAAGGGCCTGGTCTCTGCTACCAGCATGTGAAACTGGCTGGCCCCTCCCCAGAGCTTATCCCCATGGCCTCTCTGCCCCATGGGACGGCAGGCGTGGCACCAACCACGGCACTGAGGAAGGTGATGCCCCTGCCCAGCTGCACCCTGGCACCCCCACCCGCCCAGCTGATTCCAGCCCCCAGGACAGGGCAGCCTGAGCAGACAATGAACCCTTGGCACAGTGAGCAGGCTCTGCTTACACCGCAGCCCCAGAAGCCATCTGTGGCCTTGGCAGGGCAGCAACCTTGCCCCATTGCCCCCTCCCTACGCAGCACCCCTGAGGGAGGGCAGCCAGGGGACAAGCATTGGTGGCTCCAGCTCACAGCGACTCCCTTGGGAGCAGAGGCCTGGGCAGGCGTCTTCCCCAGGCCAATCTCCAGGTGGGGGAGGAAGCTGGACTTGGGGGGGGGGGGAGTGGGGGTGTTGTGAACCAACCTCCAGGGGAGGTGCAGTGCAGTGCAGGGAGCAGCTGTGTGGTGGTGGTGGGGAAGAGATTCCAATGGCCCCTTACCCTCCCCCAGGCCCAATCAGCCTCTAGAGCAAGGCCATACCCCACTCCCAGCGCTGCCAGGTGCCTGCTAGGCAACCATGGGGCAGGCGCTGCCCTGCCCCCCATTAGCACAGCACAGTGGGGGCTGCTGCCCAGGAGAGCCGGGCAGCAGTGTCCAGCAGGCCAGGGGCACGTGGCTGTAACCGCTCCACTCTGAGCTCAGCCAGGCACCGGGGGATGGACACAGGAGGTGCTGGGGGGGGCTCTCCAGGCCAGCTGAGGTGGGGGGCACACATGGCCCTTCCAGCTGGACTCCACCCCCATCACACCTGGGCCCCAGCCAATGACACCCCAGCTGACCCCCCCAGCCCTGCCCCCATGGCACTGCCACAATGATCCACATGCCACGGCCCCTCCTGACTTCAGCAGAGGGACAGGTCCCCACACACACTCTGAAGAGCCCCACAGCTCACAGCTGCAGTGCCCAGCCTCGGGCTGCAGGGGACAGGATGGCAGCCACTCTCCGCCCACAGGCACACACTGGGAAGGGGGAGTGGGGCGGGGGGCCTTGGGCAGGGAGTCCCAAGCTAGAACAGCTGGGTTCACTCATGCTCCCCCCCACCCAAGGAGGAGCAGAACCTGGCCTGGCGGTGTGATAACATTAGCCTTACGTGCGGCTGCTTGGGGAAGCCGAGAGTGGCACAGGGGGTGCTGCTAGGCGAGCCCAGCCCCCGAGCCCAGGGTGCCTTGGCCTGGCTCTCTCCTCACCCCACCCAGCGGCAGGAAGTCCCGCAGGCGAGTTATAGGTTATACAAGAACCAGGCGGCTTTGGCTCTTCTCAGGGACCCTCTGATTGCCCAATGGGCCTGCATCAACGGGCTCCCTCCTTGCTCAAGCCAGGCTGCGTGGCTGGCAACACCCCCCGCATCCCCGCGTGCAGCTGCCAGGGGCTGAGGGCTGAGCAAGGACCCTGCCCCTGCTCCGCCGGGCTCCCAGGGAGGAGGCCCAGCCATGTCCCTTTCCCTCCCTGGTCCCTCACTGTCCAGCTGACAGCCCCTGCAGGGAAGTAGGGAGGGCTCCCGGCCAGCTGCGACCACGCACCAGTCGCTGGCTCTGGGCACACAGTAATGCGACAGCGCGAGACCGGCTGGGCCCCCAGTGCTGGGGCCAGTCCTGGGGCACGGGCGAGAGATCTCTGGCCACGCTCCTGAGGACACAGTCTGGAGCAAGGCTGGGCAGGGAGCTGGCTGCCCAGGTGCAAGTCATGGGCTCAGAGTGGTGCTGGCAGGGCAAAGACCACGGTGAGAGACACGCCCCCCAGCAGCCTTTAATGGTGTCATCAAAGCCAGACCACAGGTTCCTTTATTGCCCTGACACCGCGGCCCGGTGGGCCCCAGGGCGCCGGCAGGGACACCACCGAGGCTCAGACACAGTGACTGAGGCTCTGTCTGGGCCAGGCCAGGAGCGCTGGGGGAGGGGGTGCTGCCCCTGGGGGGCAGCAAGTCACAGTGCAAGCAGGCAGTGAGTGTGCTGCCTGCCAGGGGCAGCCCAGCCCAGAGAGCTGTTTGGCACCCGACACAGGGAAGGGACAGGGTGACCGGCCGGCTCAGCCCGCGGCTGCCCCGTCTCCATGGGCTAGTTACAGTGGGGTTGGTCTCGTTTGCCTCCAGACTGCGCGGCTCGGGCACAGACTTGTGCTTCTCGGGCCAGGGCCCTGCGAGCTCGGCATCCACGCAGCTGTAAACACGGGGTTTGTGGGGGGAGGGGCCTGCTGGGGAGAAGCCAGGCGGGTGCTGGTGCTGCTGGTGAGTAACTGGCCGCGGGAGGGAGGGAGGGGGGCTGCGCGGGGTGTGCCCAGGGGTTTCCAGTCTCAGGTTCCTTGGGCAGCAATGCCAGCGCAGGGAGCCTGGCCCGCCAGCAGGCTACGGCAGCCAGAGAAGTCACAGCACGAGGAGCCTTGGCAGGCGCGAGTCCTTGCAGGAACGGCCTCCCCACAGGCGTTGCCAGTTTACCTGAGATTCGAGCCACAGCCAGGTGGCCTGGCTGCCCCCAGCGGGGGACAGGATCCCCGGGCAGCGGCAGGTCCAGTGGGGTTCCCACCCAGAGTCCAGGCGAGGGGACAGGCAGTCGGCAGGTCGAAGCTGGCCTCATGCATCAGTCCTGGGGCTGGCACCTGGCAGCGGCTCCTCTCCAGCTGCTGCAGGCAGGGGCTGCACCACAATGGGGGTCTGGGTCTCTGAGGGGCGACAGGCTCCGTGAGGGGCAGGGCATTCGGGGGTCTCAGAGCACCCCCGAGCCCACACCAGGCTACCTGCTTGGCACAGAACATGGGAGTCGGGGCTCCCGACAGCTGCTCCAGGCTCCCAGAGCAAACCCAAGCAGAGGCCCCAGGGAGGTGAGAGCCATGGAGCAGGGTGTGGACCTGGCCAGCCCAAATGGCTATTATTGGCCCACGACTGTGGGGCACTGGCAGCCAGGGAGAGCTAGGGGAGCCCAGGCTGGGCAGGTCAGGGGGGTGGGGGAGAGCCCAGGCTGGGGGGCTGGGAGCAGAGGGTGGGTTCGGGGAACAAGGGAGCTGTACGTGCTCCTCTGAGTCACTGAAAGGCTCCTCCAAGGGGCTGGTGAAAGCCAGGATGTACCACAAACCCTGTGGGTCCGTGACAAAGGGCCACCCACAGCCGGCACCAGAGGGGTGGTGGCACAAGTGTGGGGACTCCAGGAGTGCCCCATCAGCCGACGGGCGTAGCCGCCAGGCCCACCCCCGCTGTCTCCCTCCACGCCTGCCTGGGGCCCCGGGGACACGCAGGTGGGGGAGGCTGTGGCAGGCAGGGCCTCGGGGACAAGGGGCTGGTGAGTGCTGGGGTGAGTCCCAGGGCGGCCTTGCCCCAAGGGCACGGGGAGACAATCGCCTTGTGCTGGGCCCCCCCTCCTGGCCACTCGAAGCATTGTCACCAGGCCTGTCAGCCTCTCGCTGGGGCCAACGGCAAGGAGGGCTCAGCCCCATCCCGGAGGGCAGGGTGCCCCCCACTGCAACCGGTAGCAGCAAGAGCCGGACTGGGCCCATCAGGCGGGGCAGCAGGGCAGGCCCCAGGGACGCTCAGCTCCCTCCGGGAGCCTGGATCCCAGCCGGTCTGCTCTGCCCCGCACCCTGCTCACACACAGCCCTGGTGCCTGAGTGCCACACCGCGGGAGGGACTGACCTCCGGCTCCGCCAAGCCCCTGCTCCCACCTGGGCTGCTGGCCCCGCCCCGCAGGGGGCAGGAGAGCACAATCCCCCAAGAGCTCCAAGCACTAGGGCCCAGCACTGCCTGCCCCAGCCCAGAGGGGACCCCAGGGTGTCAGCGAGATCCTGACCTCGCTTTCCTCCACGTCCCCCCTCCCTGGTGACGGCGGCCAGGCCCCCCGCAGCCCCTGGGATGGGCCAGGCCAAGCCAGCCACAGGCTCGTGTAGAGACAGCGTGGGGCAGGGCAGACTGCCCCCTCCCCGAGCTCCTGCTCTCATCTGCCCAGCACCTGCCCCGTGCTGCCCACCCCCGGTGCTGGCCGTGTGCCTGCAGCCTCAGGGCCTCCCCTCCTGCCCCAACCCCCCCGTTACCCTCACTGCTCAACCGCACACCTGCCTGGGGGTGCCCTGCCCCGCTCAGAGCGAGGCTCGGACGAAGGACAGGCCACGGGCCGAGCTGGGCTCCCCTCTGGCAGCAGCACAGTGCAGGGCAACTCCTCCTCCTCACCTTCGGCCTCAGCTTGGATCTGCGCCTCCAGGTCCTCCGGGTTGACATACTTGTAGGAGTCCTCATCCTCCGGCGGCCGGCACTTCCCGCAGCAGAAACAGCAGCAGCAACAGCAGCAGCAGCAGGTGAAGATGCCACAGCACACGGCCAAGGCCTGCATGGGAGGGAGCAGCCGGGTCAGACACTGAGGGGCTGGGAGAGGCATTGAGGCAGGGCTAAGGACTGTCTGACCAGCCCTGACAGGGGTTTGTCCAGCGTCGGGAATTCCACAGCCTCCCTGGGCAATTTATCCCAGTGTTTAACCACCCTGACAGTCAGGAAGTTTTCCTAATGTCCAACCTAGACCTCCCTTGCTGCAGTTTAAGCCCATTGCTTCCTCAGGGGTTAAGGAAAATAATTTACCTCCCTCCTCTTTATAACAACCGTTTATCTACCTGAAGACTGTTATTCCCCCCCCCCCCCAATCTTCTCTTTGCCAAACTAAACAAACCAATTTTTCAGTTCTTCCTGGAAGGTCATGCTTTTCAGACCTATAATCATTTTTGTTGCTCTTCTCTGGACTTTTTCTAATTTCTCTACATCTTTCCTGAAATGTGGCACCCAGAACTGGACACAATACTCCAGTTGAGGCCTAATCAGTGCAGAGTAGAGCGGAAGAATTACTTCTCGTGTCTTGCTTACAACACTCCTGCTAATACAGCCCAGAATGATGTTCGCTTTTTATGCAACTGTGTTCCACTCTTCACTCATACTTAGCTTGTGATCTACTATGACCCCCAGATCCCTTGCCGCAGGACTCCTTCCTAGGCAGTCATTGCCCATTTTGTGTGTGCGCAACTGATTGTTCCTTCCTGAGTGAGTACTTTGCATCTGTCCTTCTTGAATTTCGTCCTGTTTACTTCAGACCATTTCTGCAGTTTGTCCAGGTCATATTGAATTTTAATCCTGTCCTCCCAAAGCACTTGCAACTCCTCCCAGCTTGGTATCATCTGCAAACTTTACAAATGTATCTCTATGCCGTTCTCTAAATCACTGATGAAGATATTGAATAGAAGTAGCCCCAGGATAGATCCCTGTGGGACCCCACTTGATATGCCCTTCTAGCTTGACTGTGAACCACTGACAACGACTCTCTGGGAAGGGTTTTGCACCCACCTTGCAGTAGGTTCGTCTAGGTTACATTTCCCTAGTTTGTTTATGAGACAGTATCATATCTCAACTTCAGTAAGGCTTTTATCTTCCCCCTATCCACAAGGCTTGTCACCCTGTCAAAGGAGGATATTACATTGGTTTGCCATGATTTGTTCTGGACAAATACACGTTCACTGTCACCTATCACCTTATTATCTTGTAAGTCTTTACAAATACATTGTTTGAATATTGGCTCCATTATCTTTCCAGGTACCAAAGCTAAACTGACTGGTCTGTAATTCCCTGGTTTGTCCTTATTCCCGTTTAGTGACAAGGGCTATATTTGCCCTTTGCCAGTCCTCTGGGATCTGGCTTCCGGGAGTTCTCAAAAATAATCACTAATGGCCCAGAGGTCTCTTCAGCCAGTTCCTTAAGTATTCTAAGATGTATTTCATCAGGCCCTGCCACCTGAAGTCACCTAACTTGTCTATGGAATTCTTGTTCTTTCTTAGTTTAGCCTCAGATCCTGCCCCATTTACACCGATGGTCAGACTGACTGTGAACTCCCACCATGGGTGGCTCAGGGCCTGGGCACCCCACCCACCTCCAGTGGGGGACCCAGAGCCCAGGAGACCTCTCCGCATCGAGCCACGTGGCTGGAGCAGCCAGCGCTGGAGAGTGGCCCGTGGTGTCTCTGTGGGAGCCCGACAGGCGCACAGAACAGGCCGGGGGGCGAGGGGGGGCGGGGCTGTCCCCAGCAGGCAGCGGGCACTCGCCTTGAACCACCACTTGGACATGAGGAAGTAGTACTTGACGCTCTCCTCGCCAAACTGCTCCGCCACGTAGAGCCCCATGGAGCCATACTCGTCATAGATCCGCCGCTTGTTCTCGTCATTCAGCGTCGCGTTCGCATTGTTGATCTCCTTGAACTTCTCCACTGCCTCGGGATTCTCGGGGTTCTTGTCCGGGTGGTACTTCAGGGCCAGTTTCCTGCATGGTGCAGGGGAGCGGCAGGGCTGAGGAGACGTCCAAAGCCGCTCCCCCAGATCTCAGGAGGGCACCCAGAGAATCCTCCCTCCCTTTTCCCTGGGGCTTGGAGACCCTGAGCTCCTTGGTATGACCCTGCCCCATGCTGGGGGCAGAAGGACCCTTGGGACGGCATGGTGTAACTCCACCCTGCAGTTCCAGGGTGTGCATTGCTCTCCAGACACAGGGCCAGAGCCCAGCATGCGTGCGGAGACACTCGCCTGCATGGCTGGCTGGGCTCTCCCTGCCCCAGCAAGTCTGGCAGCGGAGGTGCAGCCACAAAGGGCCTGTGGGAGAGGCTGGGGTCGCTGGGCCCAGCAGGTGGGCTCCCTACCTGTACGCCTTCTTGATCTCCTCTGAAGAAGCCCCCTTCTCCAGGCCCAGGACTCTGTACAAACTCTCCCCCGCCCGGGACATTTTCCGCTGGGGTCGGCCGGGTTCCGCCATGTTGCTCTGTATTGGAGGGGGAATGGGGGGTGTAAGTCAACATGCTGTGGGGCAGGACTGGTGAGGACACAGGGAGCTGGGCGCAGGGCCTGGCACGCCAGCTATTCCAGCTCCCCAGAGTGAGCAGCCGGGGGGGCATGTGCTGGCCAGGGTCCTGTCACCCACTGCAGGGCTATCTCATCATGGCAATCCAGGCAAGCAGCGGGACACAGCTGCCATGGGGGTCCCCCTCCCATCGCAGGGCCCGCTCAGCAGAGCCCCCCGGGGGATTAGGAAACCATGCAGACACCAGCGCTCCAGCAGAGGGTCAAGCCCGGGGCTCCCACGCTGCAGCCAGCGCTCACAATACCAGCGAGGAAGCAGGGAACAGCAGATTTCCGTCAGGCCCCGCGTGCACCACCTGGCCTGGGGCTCCCACACGCAAGGCCAGGCCAGGCCAGCAGTGCCTACAGCTCCCTCCCCACCTCCATAACACGCACAGCCCTGGACAGCGGAGACAAGGCTACATCAGTGCCGGGTGCAGCCAAGCACACCAGCACCCAGGCCCCCAGCAGCCTGGGGCGACCCTGCCACACGCGCAGACACCCTGGGCAGGCCGCTCGCAGCAGCTGCTCTGCCTCCCCTTGACCCTCACGAGTCAGGGCGGCCAATGGCCTCCTGGCCCCAGGGCCCACAGCAATCCCAGATACACGCCAGCGCAGCACGCCCCATTCCCAGCCATGCACTAACCGCAGAGACATCGAAGTGCATCTCCCCACACAGACACCCCCAAACCCTCTGTCTGCAGCTTGTCAGAGCTCGGGGCTTCTCTCCCCCTGCCCTACCCCCAGGAAGGGCACGAGGGCTCAGCAGCAGGACAGGGGCCAGGACACAGCACTTACCTGGCCGGCCCTGGGAATCCAGGCTCACCCGGCAGCAGGAATGAGGAAGTGAAACAAGGCAGGGCAAGAACTGGCCAGGCAAGGACACAGAGAGACACAGAGAGAGCCCAGCAACCAGCCTGCCCCTGCCCGGCCCCTGCCCGGCCCCATGGATGTGCCGGGGCTCCTGGGCTCGGGGGATCACTTCCTGCTCTGGCTGCAGGGCGGGAGCGGGGGGCAGCGGGGTGACGACGGGACTTAGGCTTTGAGACGGACCCGTGTTAATCGGATTGTACAGCGCGGGGCCCTCACAGCATCCCCGGGCACCACGAACCGAGGGGGTCTCGCCTGCCGGGGCTTGGCCCCGGCTCTGCCCGGCGGCGGAGGGGGCGCGGCTGCCCAAGGCGGCGGCAGGGAGGGAGGGAGGGAGGGGTGATGAGCCGGACCCCGGACCCTTCCCTCACTCCCTCGCCCCGCGGAGGAGCAGCTCCCAGGGCGGCGCGGAGCTGGGCCTGGCGGGACACTCCGCTCCCGGCCCGGGCAGGGCGGAGCCGCGGGGGACTCGGCTCACCAGCTCCCGAACCCGGCCGCCCCCAGCGCCGCTGCCCGGGCCCGGCCCCCCGCGACGCGCTCGCTGG